CTACTACTACTACTACTACTAGTACTACTAGTAAAAGTAGTACTACTAGTACTACTACTACTACTACTTTTACTAGTAGTACTAGTATCAGTTGTCACTACAGCAGATGACAACAAGAAGGATCAGCTCCTTATTAGCTCATTCTGCTCATCAGCAAGTGACTTTTGCTGTCATCAAATACTACTACTAGTAGTAGTACTACTAATTACTGTTTTAGTAGTAGAGTCAGCATTACTGTGATTCTCAGTCTAGAGCTTCTTGACATGGGTTTAGCTCATGCTTTTACATAGATCAGCCAATACACTCCTCCTGTCGGCTTCTTGAACATAGTGAAAATATTAGTGTCATCATACTACTAGTACTACTACTACTACTGGTACTACTACTACTAGTACTACTACTACTAGTACTACTACTAGTACTACTACTACTACTAGTACTACTACTAGTACTACTAGTACTAGTACTAGTACTACTACTACTACCACCACTACTACTAGTACTGCACGAGATTACGTGTACTCTTAGTAGGTGTTAAGTGTGTATGAAAATTGAAAATTATAAGATTAGAATTATACGAAGATTACCAAGCGCGTTCATGAGAATTCCGAAGTTCTGATTAGAACCTCATGTAGACCTGGTAGGGAATTCTACACGGAGGTTCTCTATTAAGGACTCGTGACATCTCTATTCTTCGTGAGGTATTCTAGAATAGTATCTTAGACCTCTTACGTTCCTCGGAGCTCTTACGAGCTTCGGACCTCTTACGATGCATCACGCTTTACGATAGGTACGTAGGAATGGTATGATCTCTTGTTCTTTTCTTCGGAGCTTCGCATTGCATACGTACGTATCCATCATATACGTACGTATCCGTTGCATTGTCCCACTCAGTGATATTGATATATATATTGAAATATTACTCACTACTAAACTGTAGCAATCATATCTTCGATGTTTTCAACAGAGTGCTCCTCCTCTGCAGCTGGTTCTTCAGGAGTAATGTTTGCATTGGTATTTCCTTTAGATGGAACAAGCTTCCGAATGTTTACAGTCTCACGTACGTTGTCACTTCTCTGCAACACTACAGTTCCATTTGTGTTGATTTCCACTATAGGATAGGGACCGTGTAGTCTTTGGGACAGCTTGTCTGGCTCATAGAATTTCATATAGGCCTGCTGTCCGACCTGNACTAGTACTAGTCTACTACTAGTAGTAGTAGTAGTAGTAGTAGTAGTAGTAGTAGTAGTAGTAGTAGTAGTAGTAGTAGTAGTAGTAGTACTAGTACTACTAGTAGTATCAGTTGTCACTACAGCAGATGACAACAACAAGAAGGATCACCAGCTCCTTATCAGCTCATTCTGCTCATCAGCAAGTGACTTTTGCTGTCATCAAATACTACTAGTAGTTCTACTACTAATTGCTGTTTTCTTAGTAGTAGAGTCAGCATCACTGTGATTCTCAGTCTAGAGCTTGACATGGGTTTAGCTCATGCTTTTACATAGATCCGCCAATACACTCCTCCTGTTGGCTTCTTGAACATAGTGAAAATACTAGTATTAGTAGTGTCATCATACTACTAGTAGTACTAGTACTAGGACAATCTCCTGAAGTCAGCATGGCCACTCCTGCTGCTTGCAACTGTATTTGCTGGGCCTCCATCATCTACTTTTAGTATGTTATGGGCATGATTCATTCATTCTTCACCAAGTGCAAGAACAAGACTGAATGATATCACCTTCATTGCCCTTCAGTATGTACTAGTAGTACTAGCTCTAGTAGTACTGCCCCTTGTTACTACTAGTACTATCATCCTCTTCTGTTTTCTGGCAATGGTATGGCATAACAAGTAGTACTATGTAATTCTGCCGTTGTACAGCAGCTTGTACGGTAGGTATCCTTTTACAGGTACTACTACTACTATGCATTGCGGATCAATTGAAACTATGTTTCACACGGCGTGCATTCCCAATCTTAATTTAACATTCCGAATGTTAGAAATCACATTCCAAATGTTTATTTAACCTACAGAATGTTAAATTTATTGTTGCGTAGGCCTACGTAGATCGTCCTTCTACTAGTACTAGTAGTATTATCCACCATATTCTTCATTTGGTAGTACTAGCAAAGCAATTCTTTCAGGAGTCTTGCATGTGCCTAAAAAGGAAGAACAAGGGATCTGAAAAAGAGGAAAATGAAGATGCCTCCCCTCCTAACTTTCAGACTGTTAAGCAGGGCATTCAGGGTGTCAAATTGAAGCAAAAACCACATTAGTCATTTCTACATAGGCTACGCTGCTAGTAACATTGCTAGTACTAACATTTGGAGTGTTAAATTAATGGGTGATTCCCATAAACATAGATTTAAGTAAAATCGTATTAGACTTCAGACGTGCACACATAGAAGTATGTGTTTTTGACACAGATACATAGATTTTTGGTTACTTCAGGCAGGCTCTCGACAACCAAAAGTACTATGCATAAAAGAACACATAGATTTTTTGGAATCCTCGATTCAAAAATTCATTAGTAGTCACGAGCAACTGACAGCCAGTTCTCAAGTGTCAACGACCGCCGGGGGAATGCAATTATTTTCTGTTAATTTCAAGCAAAATTCCATATTCCTAAATTAAGCACATGTAGCGCATCATAATTCAATATCTAAGATTCTAAGTTTTTACATACTCATTCCCGGTGAGTAATAGACGCAAAGTATGTCAGCATAGATTCTATGTTTACGGGAATCACCCAATATTGGGAACGCCCTTTGAAATGTAGTTTCAATTGATCCGCAACGCGTAATAATGTGACAGTAACATACTAGTACGTACCGGTAACTGGTACGTACCGGATGATTGGAAGCACGAATACAGGTTAGGTACCCGTACATACAGTACAGTACGGTACTATCGAATTATGTTTAAGGAAAACACGCACGAGAGCTGGCCGATCGGAGTGGCAGCGCGCACAGTAAGGACTCCTGGGAAGACGATTGGTGCTCGCCCGCCTGCCTGGGCAATTGAATTTAAATTTATTCGGATCGTGATTTTGAAAAACCTCTTCTCACCGACCTCGACACCTATTTTCACCTCTCGAAAACATTTTTCCTCTCNGAGAATTCCGAAGTTCTGATTAGAACCTCATGTAGACCTGGTAGGGAATTCTACACGGAGGTTCTCTATTAAGGACTCGTGACATCTCTATTCTTCGTGAGGTATTCTAGAATAGTATCTTAGACCTCTTACGTTCCTCGGAGCTCTTACGAGCTTCGGACCTCTTACGATGCATCCTATGATAYATACATAGGAAGCGTACCTTACGATAGGTACGTAGGAATGGTATGATCTCTTGTTCTTTTCTTCGGAGCTTCGCATTGCATACGTACGTATCCATCGTATACGTACGTATCCGTTGCAAGTACTAGTACTACTACTACCACTACTACTACTACTACTACTACTACTACTACTACTACTACTACTAGTACTACTACTAGTACTACTACTACCACTACCACTACTACTACTACTACTACTACTACTACTACTACTACTACTACTAGTACTACTAGTACTACTACTACTACTACTACTACTACTACTACTACTACTACTACTACCACCACTACTAGGACAATCTCCTGAAGTCAGCATGGCCACTCCTGCTGCTGGCGACTGTATTTGCTGGGCCTCCATCATCTACTCCTTTTAGTATGTTATGGGCATGATTTGTCATTCATTCTTCACCAAGTGCAAGAAGAACAAGACTGAATGATATCACCTTCATTGCCCTTCAGTACTATGTAGTACTACTTGTACTACTAGTATTCTCTTCTTGAAGAGAAGTTACTGCCCCTTGTTACTACTACTACTATCATCCTCTTCTGTTTTCTGCCAACAATATGGCACAAGTAGTACGTAATTCTGCCGCACAGCAGCTTCTTGTACAGTAGGTATCATCCTTTTACAGGTACTACTACTATGCATTGTGGATCAATTGAAACTATGTTTCACACGGTGTGTGTGCATTCCCAATCTTAATTTAACATTCCCAATGTTAGAAATCACATTCCAAATGTTTATTTAACCTACAGAATGTTAAATTTATTGTTGTTGTGTTGTAGGCCTACATAGATCGTCCTACTACTAGTACTAGTATTATCCACCACATTCTTCATTTGGTACTACTAGCAAAGCAATTCTTTCAGGAGTCTTGCATGTGCCTACTAAAAAGGAAGCACAAGGGATCTAAAAAAGAGGAAGATGAAGATGCCTCCCCTCCTAACTTTCAGACTGTTAAGCAGAGCATTGTTCAGGGCGTCAAATTGAAGCAAAAACCACGCCCTTTGAAATGTAATTTCAATTGATCCACAAGAAGAACGCGTAGTAATACTAGTACGGATATCATAACAAGAATTCTTGATTGCGGCACTAGTAGTAAGATAGTGGTTCCCATCGTTATTTTAATGATGCCATCCTTAGCCCAGTAGAACACAGTACAAAATGTACTGAGGTAGTTTGCAACTATTCTGGTGGTGGAGAACCAATCCAGCTTCTTTCTCAGAAGGCAAAACATGCTGAAAATTTTGGGGTGCAACACTCAGTAGAGCTCTGTAGAATTTGTACTGAAAAAATTAAGGATGGCATCATTAAATTAACAATGGGAACCACTTTCTTAGTAACGTGATCAATTGTTATGACATCCGTAGTAATATGACAGTAACATACTAGTACGTACCGGTAACTGGTACCGGATGATTGGAAGCAAGAATACAGGTTAGGTACCCGTACATACAGTACAGTACGGTACTATCGAATTATGTTTAAGGAAAACACGCACGAGAGCTGGCCGATCGGAGTTGCAGTGCGCCCAGTAAGGACTCCTGGGAAGACGATTGGTGCTCGCCCGCCTGCCTGGGTAATTGAATTTAAATTTATTCGGATCGTGATTTTGAAAAACCTCTTCTCACCGACCTCGACACCTATTTTCACCTCTCGAAAACATTTTTCCTCTCTGGTATCGTAGGARTACTGAACGGTACGAATAAGAGTACGGGTTCGTATTTCCTTCGTTCCTCGTCAGCATCACTCTGTTATTATTATCATCTAATCTTGTTCCAACGGTACGAAGAGAAATTGGATTTGATTATCTCGTACCAAAGAACTAAAGATTAAAAGGGATTCTYAGAGATAAATGACAACGAAATAAGAGAGTTGAGACGACCTCCTGAAATGAATCACGATCGCGACGCGGTCGACCGAGAGGACGATGAAGTTTGCTGGAGTGAGTTTCAAGAAGAGGTGAGCGAGATGACGCCCGGTACACCCTTCTCCCCGATTATGTTTGAAAAGTCTCGACCAAAAAACATTWCTGGTGATTCCGATGCTTCTCGCCAGGACATAGAAACGTTCGGTTCGTCGATGGAGATGGATGACAATGCCGCAGCCAGAGTCCTCCTTTCGACGATTCAACAGCSCCTTCCGCCTCCGATTCCACCAYCCCAAGCGTCGCAAGCCGAGAAAGACCGAGAAGGTTATATTCAAAGTCACGAGGATGCAAAGATTTTGGCGATATCTAGGCAAAGTCAAAACAGCAATCGCAGTCGTATGGAACCGAAACCTTCACGCGTGCCCTTTCAGCCCACGGGGGACTACCAATCAAGGAGATCACAGCCAACTACGATCGAAACCGGATTGGATAGTCAATCGGAAAGGCWGGATGCAGCACTAGACATSAGATGCATTGAGGGTTCTAATCGAAGCGGTCCTTACGGTAGAAGAACTTATCATGACGACCAAATTATAGATGACGAYACTTTGGGTTCCAATAGAATGGAATATCTCCCTTCTCGTCATTTTCAGGTGTCCGCTGCCGATAAGTCTCTGGTTCTGCAATCATCTTTTTATGGTTCAGCTAGAGCCGCAAGAGACTCTATTCGAAGACCCTCAAGCATTGATGGACAACAGGAACAGCAACATTACGTCAATTCTATGAGAGCCGAGCTGGAATCTCCTTCAAACGGAAGCTATCACAGTCAAGGTAGTGCGTATACGTTCACAAGTGATCATAGCGCAAGATCTTATAGAGCTGGCCCTTTTCGCCAAAATTCTACGAACTCAAGCATGCTTTATGGTGAAGAAATAGATTTGGAGGCAGACGTGGCGATGGCAGAGGCTGGTTACCGCCAACGCCAACAGGTTTATCAAAGGGCCGATAGCGGGTATTTCATTGGCAATACAGACTCCACCAGCCAGCACAATTTGTCAAATTTGTTTGGAATGCAAATCGGTGGCGGTAGTCCTTTTAGCACGGGAGTGAGATACRGTGGAGGGCATTCSATGTTGTCCTCTCATGGCTTCATACAACTTAATCAGGAGCAGTATCATGGCAACGGGAACRCTGCCCCATTCACATTTGGGGTAACATCGGAACACATTTCTAATGTGAGAGAACACGCTAACAAACTTGGGAAAGGTGCAAAGAAGGGTGCACTCACAATGATGGAACAAGTGACTGTTGCGGCCAAACACATCATGAACAAGTACTATCGACCGCCACTTTCTCCGCGTTCGAAGGAGCTCAATGACTTGGAATTTCTACAGCGAAGACACAAGGAAAAATTTGAAAAGTATAGATCTCCGAACGACGATTCTAACGAGGAAGAAGATGATAATTTCTTTGACTTTGTCCTAGTCCTAAAGTCCGAAAAAGCTTATGAATATTGGGCAGAGCTGTTGGATTTCCGAGGCGAGTACTCGGAAGACATTATATCACCTTGTGGAGGCTCTCCCACTGCAACTGGGTCGAGCTCTGGTGGCGAAGATGCTACTTCTGCTGTTGAAAATAAGAAAGCGAATTTCGATGAAATTGTTCGGAGTCCAGAAAGTGATGATAATGAGAATTTATCAACACCTCGTACAGGATTGCTTCGGCGCAGACGAGCAAAAACGCCATCCTCAAATAGCAAGAGTCCAAGATTTAGTTTGTTACGTTCGGCCTCTCAAAATTTCGACAGCCAYCACAAATCTCAATCTTCTCGATCGAATACGACGCAGTTTAGAGGAACGCCCTTGATGAAACAAGCAAGTCGGATGAGTATATTTGAACAATTGATACAGAGTCCAACTATAAGTGGTCGAAGTCGAACTTTTTCTCAACACAGCTACTACAGTCGAAGTAACTCGTCAAATGGCAGAAATGAACAGGGTGTCATYACTGAGACTCCAGTGAGGGGTGTAGAGCGCCGACGATGGGGRAATCCCACCGCGAACTTACGATCGCACTCGGTTAAAGCATCTGCCAATACCCCTCCGGTGCGATCGGTTGCGCGTAGGTGTTTATCTGAAGGAACTCAAATTAATCTTGATAATTCGTTCCGATCGAGTGGAGTTAAGAACCAGCCAAAAACAAAGAGTACCAAAAGCAATCTGCTTGATGATACAAACAAAACCAAAGAAGGAGATGAAGAAAACGAAGCTCCCAAATCCAATCGGGGTGCAATCCCGCAGGGTTTCGCGAAAACTAATGAATTGACTCGTTTCTTGGAAGCTTTAAGACAAGGAATTGTCCTTCGTCGACATCGTCCCGGTSAAGAGGCAGCGTTTTGTAGGATGTATTCGATCGATGGTGGCAGTACAATTAGGTATAAGTTGATCAATCCGAAAGATGCTTTTGCCGCTTTTGAGCAACAACGTGCTCATTATTCGTCTGGTGCAACGTCAGAAAAGGGTCCTGAATGGAGTCGTGAAGCTGAAACATCAGATRAAAGTCCTCCTCAAGAATACAGAGAGAAATATCTGCGTGCCGTGGATATTGCCTCAGTTCACCCCGCAAGAAACGCAGACAGTGACTATCCCGATGAGCGTGGAACTGCTTCTTTGCGTCAATCCCTATCCCAATATGACGAGCAGCTCTCTTTTTCTTTGAAAGTCGATTCAAAAAAGGTCAGTAAAATCTGGAAGAAAAGGAAAGCGGACGAAATTTCTTTCAAAACCTTAGATTTTGAGGCTGCTACATCAGGGGAGTATTGGCTAATTTTTAGGGGTCTTCTGTTGCTTCACCGAGACATTAAACGCGGTAGGCTTGGAGGGAACCGTAATGCAGGCATTGGTGGAGGTGTACGAATTGGAGAGAATGAAAGTGAAAGAAGTTTTGATTTGGAAAATCAATTGACACGGGATATGTTCATTGAACCATCRCCTGTTGGTTGGGTCGAAAAACTTATCGTGAAGAAGTTTAAACTCAATGACGACTATATCCATGGTGCAGTCATGCCAGGTGCCATACCACCTGTTTCGGACTATTTTCTAGGATTCAAATCTCCTGGTACCACAATTTGGAGTCGTTTGCGTTCAGCCGGTCTTGAAACTCGGCGGATATATTCAGTTGACACTCGTAGGGTAATGATAAAGATCCGGTGTCCCGATTATCGGCTCACAGATGTAGCAGAAGTTTTGCGGCTACGAATGGAGAAAAAGGACGGTTCTTTTGAACCATTTCGTGAATCCTGTGCTGGAATTTTCAAGCAGCGTCAAGATCATCTCGATGTCCCTGACATGTACYGTGGGCGCATGGCCTCCCTCCTTCGATCCAAAGATCGTCAATTAATCATCGATTTTATCATCGGATCTCGCATACGTGATTCTGGAGCTCAACTTGCACGTACAGGTAACATYGAAAAAATTATTCAAGTTGAAGGAACTCAGCCTAAACGAAAATTGGACTTCGCAAACGCCCCTTTGGTTTCATGTTACCAATTCATTGTTGATTTTATGACTCGACATCGCAATCGTGATTCTGAAGACGAATCAATAGTACGCACTTGTAATCTCGGAAATGCGATTGAGGCACGAATTCCACTTCACATGCCACATAAATTAGATTCACTATGCAACTCTTGGGTCTTTTACTGGAGAAAGGAGCGTTGGATCAAGAACAGCGTGTCTAAATCTTTGAGCTCAGAGGGCSGTGATTCATCTCCAACAACTGATGAAGGTAAAGGTGAAGATCAAAGTGAGGACAGCAGACCAGTTCCAAATTTTRTCAGTCGATTCTTCGTTGGAGCTTTCAAGCAGCCTCTAGATTCCATTGAAGATTACTTTGGTGAACACGTGACCTTCTATTTTGCTTGGGCACAGCATTGCTCGGTTCATCTGCTATTTTTAGCATTTTTTGGTCTGATTGTCACATTCTGTGAAATATCGGCATACAACCTAGACCACCCCATTCGTCCATGGTTTTCCATGGCTGTCATGATATGGACTTTCACTGTGTTAGTGAATTGGAGAAAGCGATCAAATGCTCTTGCATACAGGTGGGGAAGTCTGGACCACAAGGWGCAAGAGACAAATCGCCCTGAGTTTCAGGGAGAGTTTGAAAGAGATCCAAAGACGAATGAATATAGAGTAGATCCCATTACAAATGAATACATAATCAAGTATCCAAGGTGGAAGCGCTGGTTGAAGTATATGATCAGTGTTCCTATAACATTATTTTTCACAGGACTCGCGTTGTTTCTGATTCTCATGGTGCATGCCAACCGGGACACGCAGATGGCGAACTACATTGAAAAAAGAATCAACAATTCAACTTCCGAGGTCGAGTTCACGTTCAATGTGAGAAATATTGGRAAAAAGCAATATGTCGGAGATGTAGAGGTGAATAGGGATCTGCTTCTGGACCCTACGTACTGGATCATAATGGTTACCTTGCCATCATTATTGGGATTGTGTATCCCGATTTTGAACATTATCCTGATGAAAATATCTTACATGTTGAATGACTTTGAAAACTATCAGACTGACGCGCAATACCGAACCCATCTGATAATCAAAGTATTTAGCTTTCGATTTGTCAGCCAATTTGGAACCGTTTATTACTACGCTTTTATGTCTATCGATGAAGAAAATTCGGCGAAGGCTGTCGAAAACGGGATGATCAGAATGGCCACAAGTCTTGCGATTTACACTACAGTTGCACACTGGTGGAACATTATTCTGCAGGTTTACATTTTCATGGGCATCCAGCATATCAGGCGTTATTTTTATAATCAAGGACTGAAAAAGATGCTGTCGCAACTTGAGCGAGACGAGGAAGATCATATTGCTAATGAACGTTGTGACAACGATGCTCGAAGCATAAAGTTGGAAAACAGAAGAATWTTGGCTGAACAAGCACACGATGACCACTGGAAAGAGATAATGAAAGCTCCGCACGATAGCTTTCCAGAATACATCACTGCAGTGGTACAATTTACCTTCGTCGCCTGCTTCAGCGTTATTCTACCATGGTAAGTACAGTAAATCTGAATGCGTTGTGTTATTTTTTTTTAAGAAACCAATTCAAGTTAAATCTTTTCTCCATTCTTACACTTACGGTTGCACTTTTTCATTGATGAATTAGCATCCCCTTCCTTGTCCTTGTAAATTACCTTCTGAGTATGAGATTCGATGCMTACAAGGTGTGCAGAGGAAGGCGCCGGTCTATTGCAAAAAGAACGGGTGGRATTGGAGTTTGGGAGCATTTACTTCACATTGTCGCCGTGATTGCTGTTCTGACGAATTGTTGGCTAGTTGCCATTACCAACCAGGAGTTTAGGGCGATAGCAGAAGAAATTGGATCTACGGCCACTGTTTTTCTGGTGGTTGCATGGGAGCATGCCATGCTGCTTCTCAAATACCTGATGGGCACAACTATATCGAAACTTCCGAAAGAAATAAGAGACGAGATCAGAGCAAAACAACACGATTTTGAAGAGAAGATATACGAAGATATGAGACTAAAGACTGAACAAACCCGGAGACTGAAGAGAGATAAATCATTCGTTCAATCTTGCACTCCTGATTCTATGTCACACGCTGGAAGTGGTTTCTTCCACCACGATTATAAGAGTGTAAATGGGTCGTCTCCTAGTTCCCGATCTAAAGCAGGTACAGTAGTTTCAAGTCCGCACGATAGAAGCAGTCTCCTGAATCATTTTGAACCGGATGGCTATAGTCTAGAACACCTCACTACCACTCCTGAGAAAAGTGCTCGCCTTCAAACTATTGAATCATTCGACGAATCGGTTGACAAGCTTTCGAATGCTGATAGCAGATCGAGTGAAGTGTATGAGTCTCCGACAACTGAAAATAAGAGTTGTAGTCAATCAATTGAATTGTTTGACGATACTGACAGTGGTAGTTCAGTTGAATTATTTGAGTCTCGACCCATTGAGAGTAAGAACTTTCGTCAAACAATTGGATCGCTTGACGATAGTAGTCGTGGTACATCGGGAGACTCAGGCGAGTCTCCAACCACTGAGAATGAGAGTCGTCACCAGCCTATCGATGATAGCAGACMGGGTGAACTATACGAGTGTTGAGAACTTTCCTTCACGCCTAAATTTATATGTTGAATGTGCTTTGCCCTCATAGAATAATCAAGATAATGCCTATATTCCTAGASTGATGTTTGAAAGTCATACCAGTGCCATTACCTTGATCGCAGAACCCACTAGAAATACGTTACGGCACTATTCGATGCGAAGAATGCCTAATGACCAAGGGAACACCATGTGAAAGGTCTCAAGGGAAAAAAAGGAAAACTGGGTGACGGATTGGCAAATCGATCGCTCCCGCCTTTAATACATGGCTCGGGTGGGTCAATCGTTTTCCTGTGCGAGCTCTTCGAAAGCGATACTGCTAGAATTGAATAGACATTTCAGTAAAACTGATTTTGATCTACTAGTAGGTAGTAAGTTGAAGATCC